TAATTGTATAAAACAGAAATGTTCTTTTAAAATATGTAGCTAATTTTTCTGTTCATAAAGTAATAGAAAGAAGAAACTGATCCTGTCACCCACCAGCAGTATCAGTTTAGTCTACTTCATTAAGCACCTAAAAGTGGTTATGAACTGATTGATTTTCCAGCCGACATTACAAAGATTTTCTAATTAGATACTATGATATTTACATGAATAGATAGAGAAAAATTATAAACAAACATTTCTGAGTCATTCAATTCTGTATCCTCGTTTAAAGAAACATTTATACTGGATACTTTAACTGTTCTTTATAAGGCTGAGCCCATGGAATTGTGTTTAACCACTTGCTAACCGGGGTGTTTAGACCCCCTTCCTGGCCATGCTATTTTTCAGTATTCAGCGCTGCGGTACTTTGACTGACATTTATTCCGTCATACAATGCTGTACTGAAATACACTTCATACCATTTTTTAGGGACAGATAGAGCTTTCTTGTGGTGGTATTTAATCACCACTGGGGGTTTAATTTTTTACTATATAATGAAAAGAGGACCAAGAATGTTGAAAAAAAACCCAGCTTTCCCGCGTTATGTTATGAAACAATTATTATTACCCAATTTTTTCGGTAAAATATAAAAGACGGGGTCACGTCGGGTAAATAGACACCAAACATGTCGAGCTTTAAAATTGTGTGTGCCCACAAAATCGCAAAAAAACACCATGCCTAAAATTGTCCATAGGCGACTCTTTAAAAGCTTTTACCGCTCATCAGTTTAGTGTTATCATTGATTGATGGGCCTAGACTTATTCCTCTCAATGCATTGTTCACGGCGATATGTAATGTGTGGCGCAATCGTTGCTTTTGCACGTAAGCGTGCCTGATGCGTATTTGCGTATAAAAGTGCATGTGCGTGCAGGCGAAATGAAACTATTTTTGGTGTTTGTTTTTTTAATATGAGACTTAAATTTTTTTTTAAAAAGCTTTTTTAAACTTTTTTTTTAAAACCTATTTTTTACACTTGATTGCTATCACATTGGGGGATAAAAAGCCCCCAATGTGATAGCTAGAAAAAAATGACAGGTGCTCTTAATGGAGACATCAGTGGTCCCCAAGACCCCTAATGTCACCTAGAGACCCCCAAAGAAGCTGATGAAGCAGAGATCTGCTTCTCCAGCTTCTTCTCTGGCTCCCAGCCAGAGAAATGACAACTTAAAGTCGGAAGTGATGTAAGAGAGAAGAAGGGGGAGAGATCAGCGGTGGGAAATGCTGATCTCTCCCCCTTCTCTCTTCGAGCAGCCACTGTGCCGGTCCTCTCAGTCCCGGGCACCGCAGGGGGGACAACGGTGCCCTGGATAACTGGCGGCAGCGAAGTGGGGGTGCACCATGCAAGGTCATACAAGCGATCGGCCGGCTATAGAATGCTTGAATGAGACCGCCGGTAACGGCTGTTGTCCTTCCTGGTGGGATTCTGTTCGTGCGAACGCAGAGAAAAAAAGACGTACATTTAAGTGACCCCGCCGGAAAGAATCCGCCGCCCGCCCGTAATTTTACGATGGGCGGACGGCAAGGGGTTAAAAGCAGTTGGTTGAGCTGTGAAAGAAATCCTTTGAAGTGAACATGTCATAACAGAAATATTGACCCTACCATGTACCATTATTATCGTCTTTAAAAAGTTGAGAGTTGCCTAGCTGTCATGCTTACTCTCTTCCTATCTACGCAATTCCTTACTGACCTCACCCATTTGTAGCCACCCAAAAAAAAATCACACAGCCATTTTACGCATGCCCTGAAACAATTGGTCACCGACTTCTGGAAGAGGAAGCAGACATTGAAAATGTAAAGACAAAGTTCCCTGGACACCATAAGAAGTGAAATAATGCAGTGGAAGCACTTTGGTGAATAATACATGTGGTCAAATTGCGCTAACAGTGGGAGAGACTGAAGATGCATGGTTAAATAAACCCTGATGCAGGGATCAGGAGTGTGTAACGTGCGGACTTCAGGTGTTAAGAGTGTGTAACACACGTAAAGTAGGGGTCAGGAGTGTGTAACACAGAACACAGGGAGTCAAGAGGGCATGGAGTAGAGCGCAGGAATCAGAAGAAGGTAACACATGGAATAAAGCGATCAGGCTCAATAAATGCATGGAGTACAGGGGTCATCTGTAGGTAACGTATGAAGTACAGGGGTCATCAGTAGATAACGCATGGAGTACAGGGGTCATCAGTAAGTAACACATGGAGTACAGGGAACATCAGTAGGTAACACATGGAGTACAGGGGTCATCAGAAGGTAACATATGGAGTTCAGGGGTCATCAGAAGGTAACACATGGAGTACAGGGGTCATCAGAAGGTAACACATGGAGTTCAGGGGTCATCAGAAGGTAACACATGGAGTTCAGGGGTCATCAGAAGGTAACACATGGAGTTCAGGGGTCATGAGTAGGGGACAGTAGCAAGTAATGCAGAGTTCAGAACTCAGTCATAAGTAACAAGGGGTTCAGTAGTAACGCAGGGTTCAGGGGTCAGTAGTAAGTGATGCAGGGTTCAGGGGTCAGTAGTACATCATGCAGAGTCCTAGAGGCAGCCATCACAGCATGTATAAAACTGGCTGTAGTTCATTGCCACTGAGGACACAGCCTGGGGACAGGCCTCTCAAAACAGGGACTGTCCCCAGGAAACAGGGACCAATGGTAAAATTACTGTAGTCCACCCAGAACACTCTCAGTCTGTGGTCACTTTAGTAGGTTTTTGCTGACAGGGTGCTTTAAACTTTTTTAATTTTTTAAGCAGTTACAGAATGGATGTGCAATTCCGTTCCACAGCTGGAGGGCTGGAGTTGCCCACCCCCGAGTTACAGCAACAGTTTTTTTTTCTTCCTTTTGAAATAAAGATGTAAAAATGGTTTGTCTCAACCCTCTATCTGCCACTTTTACTGGACAGCTTGGCCTAGTAAAGGAAGTTAAAAAACAACAGAAAATCTCCATCCACACTATCAGCATTGATGGATGAATATGCCGCTGTGTCCTTTGTATTATGACAGTGGCTCCCACAGCTGTCAGGACACCAAAACAGTGCTTATAGCTGACTGTGCTATGTGAATGAATAATAAGCTGATGTGCCGAAAAAATTGTGAAAACACTATTTCTAATATCATGAACCAAGTGACACTGCGCTAAAATAAATTAAAATAAAAAACTCCTTTGTGTTTGTGTTTTATTCATCCATTAAGTGTTAGCATGTGCGTGTCTAGGAGGAGGGATGCACGCACATGCTAACACTTAGACCCCGTTCACATATAGTGACATACCTTTGCAGCGGCCGGGATAGCGCGACTTTCGGGGCGACGTTCCAGCGACGATCCAGCGACGGTAGCGCGACCTTCTCCGTCGGGCTCCTTAGAAAAAAAGCAAAATCGCGCAAAATCCGCCGAAAAAAGGGTCCGGTAGAAGCGACTTGCGACCGCGACGAGCGACGCGCGACATGGAGTTAAGACAGCTCCATTGAATAGCATTGGCCGGCGACTTCTCGCGATATCGCGCGGCAAAAATGCGCGATATCGCGGCGGAAATCGCGCGACAAGTCGCTATATGTGAACGGGGCCTAAATGAATGAATGAAAAACAAACACAAAGGAGTTTATTATTTGAATTTATTTTAGCGCAGTGTCACTTGGCTTCAAGCACCCTTTCGTACCTGTGAAAATGCCCCGATACTGGCAGTTTACATTTTTAAACACAAGCGGCTGCTATAAGGTCCCACGCTTGCTGGGGACCTCACAGCAGCCTTGTGGTGCCCTTACGGCACCTGTTTACAGTGTCAGCCGGCCAAGCATCTCCTCCTCCTTCCCACCCGCACAGACATGGTGAGACCCGGCACTGCACTGGAAAGTCCCGCACCTGCCTGCACAGCCCTTTTAAGACCCGCAGCCGCCCGTAGAGCCCTGGTGAGACCTGTATCTGCCCGCTCAGCCATGGTGAGACCTGGCACAGCACTGGGGAGTCCAGCACCCACCCATACAGCCCTGGCGAGACCCGCACCTGCCCGTACTGCCCTGGTGAGACCCGCACGCAGCTCTGGTGAGACCTTGCAAGCAGCCCTGGTGAGACCCCGCAGAGCCCTGGTGAGACCCCGCAGAGCCCTGGTGAGACATCGCAGAGCCCTGGTGAGATCCTGAACAGCCTCATGAGATGCCGCACAGCCCTGCTGAGCAACACTTTAGTATTTGTAGTCCTCTAAAGCTGGTGGTATCCTGCATTGCTGCATAATGTATTGCTGGGATTTGTAGTCCTCTATAGCTGATGGTATTCTGCATTGCTATATATTGTACTGCTGGGATTTGTAGTCCCTCTACAGCTTTGAGTCAGTGGCAGAACTACCAGGGTTGCAGTAGTTGCAGCTGGGACCGGGTCCTGGCGCTCCACCACTGTCCTAAAATTATTAGTCTGTGTTGTTTTAAAAAAACATGACACAAAAAATCGGTAATCGAACTCGGTCTTGAAAAAATGGTATTGGTGCACCCCTAATTGTTAACCAGCTTAAGTGGTGAAAATAAAGGGAAAAAAGCCTAGAAAAATGTAATATATTCCAGTATACCAATTCTTGGATATGGATTTAAGAATTGGTATACTGGAATATAATAAAAAAAAAAATTTGGGGTTTAGATATATTTTAGGTATTAAAGAAGTAGAAATGTAAATGAGAAATATAAACAAATAACTAAAAGAACATACCATTTGCCATCTATAAAACAATAAATGTACTAGCCATCAATTGTAAGCATCATATTTTTTGCATCACAAAATAAATACAATGTATCAATATTGAATCCACCTAAAAAGCTTTCCAGTTGTCTGACAATCCCACAAGTATGAGCATTAAACATTTTTCTACTCCTAAATCATAAGCTGGTATACATCTTTCATGTTTTAGAGGAAGTCAGTGTACAGGTATCACAATTCCTTCTTTCCCTATAAACAAGCAGCATATTTTAGATAGATACTCACATCTGTCCTTCCTCTTAGACGAGCTGCTGAAGGCTTGTAGGGACGTTTCCCAGACACATACTGGAGTCTGTGAGCGGAGGTTCTGTAATTCAATTCTTGTCAGATTTTGGCTCTTGCGCAGACTTGGTCTCTCCAAACTTCTCCAAATGTCTGTCTTTCACACAGCAATAGCGGATGTTTATGTAGAGCTCCTAAACTTCCAAATGATAGAAAGTAACATAGATTTAATTAGGAATGTGAAGTTCAGCCTATTTCCTTTTAACCACAGCCAGGACCCAAAGGCTAACCTGAAGGAATGTCAGTGGCTATAGTAACCATTGGAATGTGTATCTGATGGTGGACATTTGTGCAATGGATGCAAAGCAAAACAGATACGACTCAGTGCTACTATCACTACAGTCTGATTAGCTTTCATTACATTTAAATGCTAAATTTTTTTTATTTGAAATATCCTTTTACTTTACAGCTTCATAATGAAATCCATGGATTAGATCAAATAAAACAGAGGCTGGAAAGCAAATTGCTATTTCCTGATGCATACTGATGTGACCACAGATCTAAACATTACATGTGCTTGTTTAAAGTTGTACGGTTACCTTCAGATTCCGAGCAAAGCTCGGCTGCTTTTACGAAAACAAAAGTTGTGTTTTGTGTGCGCACATTTATACTGATGTTAATAAGAGCCAAAAATAGAAAGTTGGGCTTTTGCAGACCCTGTATAAAAACTGGAGGCAATGAAAGAAGAACTCGGGGAGATATTTTTCGGTCTAGGGAGGAAAATAACTCACCTGATTCCCGGAGACGGCTTGCTCTTAGACCCCATTCACACTGAGCGACATGGATATCGCATGTTTTTCCACCCAATTTCGTGCTGAGTGGCTACAGCTACATCTGCAATATTAAGTGACATTGCACATTTTATCGCGCTATGTAGCGCGTTTTTTGGAGCGGGAATTTGTCGTTGCTACATTGGTCTGTAACCAATCAACAGCGATCTTGATGTGACATCATTCTTTCCTTCCATTTTGCAATGCAAATGTAACCCTTGCGCGACTTCGCCGATAATGCGTGATTTTGTGCGACACCATAGAGTCTATTGGAGCCGAATCGCGCGACATCCACTGAAAAAAGGGTCCTGTACGAGCGACGAGCTACAGGCGACATTGAGCTGTGAGATGTGAACAGCTCCATTGAAATGCATTGGACAAGCTACATAGAGTGATATCGCGCGGAAATATGCGCAATTTCGCTGCGGCAATTGCGCAATTAGCCGCTCGTGTGAACGGGGCCTAAGACCAGTCCCTGGAGCCTCTCTCTTTCACCTCTGCAGCAGACTAAGGTCTGTGAGTGACCATGTTCTATACACTGTGTATATGATGAGAGGACACCAAGGGACATACCATCCCTGCAGCGTAGGACTTTGTTATTTTACACCCTGGACTTAAAAGAGAACTATGGCCCAACCTTCATTGTCCGTAGTTCTCTTTAGGATCACAGGAAGGCATTTACTATGTCCTCCTGTGATCCAAAACAGCGCAGAGATACGCTGCGGCCAGGAAGGATACCAACATTATTGTCGCAATCCACCCCACCACCGGATTGACAGCTGGCTCTGCCTCCCCAGAGTCAGCGCTGGAGGAACGGAGAGGGAAGGGAGGAATCCTTGAAAGTCAACACCCTCTGCTGGGAGAAGATCAGGGTCAGCTGCAGTGTCACGCGTCAGCTCTAATTATGGGGATGAGTGTATTTAATTCTCCCCATAATTCTCCTTTAACCCTTGCAGTGCGGCGGTAGTTGGAGTTCTGCTTTAATAATTATTATGAATTCTTTAGTCATTTAGATTTCTATGGTGCTTTTCTTTGTGGGGACATGAAGTGTTTTTTATCTGCTGTTGTGGCACATGGTGAGGCAGCCATCTTGGGCAAACTCAGTAAAATATCATACTGGGGCCAGATTTATACAAGAGCCAATTAAGCTTCCAGGATGTCTTTGGAGTGTGGGAGGAAACCAGAGTACCCAGAGGAAACCTGCGCAAGCACAGGGAGAACATGAAAACGCCATGCAGATAGTGTCCCGGCTGCGATTCAAGAGGAAATAATCAGTGAACCCCTATAGTTCAGAACCACAAATCCCTTTTTTCAAGTGAAACTTGGAGAAAGCAAGGACACATCTGTTGTTATGGGAAACACACGTTCTTTACATTTGTTTAACCACCTGAAGACCAGCCGCTGACCGTTCTGCATGTTTATTGTTCTGGAAGGACGTACCTGTACAACCCCCCTGCTTGCTTGTGTGCACACGCCCTGTACACACAGAAGCTGCTGCTCCCTGTCATTAGACAATGGAGAGAGCAGCGACTATAGGCACAGAGCTGATCAAACGATTTTGATTGGTTATCACAGCGAACACATGGGAATGTTTACATTGCCAAGCCCTCCCCTTCCTTTTACAACAGAGCCCAGCCTGCAGTCTGGACACAAACTGCCGACCTTCCCCTGTTTATGGCTGGCTGACAGTGGATGCATTCCACCAAGGCCAGTGCATCTAGTGCAAGCTATAGCCAAGCACAGGTCGGCAATCAGGCTGTGTCCGGATCTCGTTCCTTTTCAGTCATTGGTTGCTAGGACCGCTGAGCAGTCCTAACAACCAGTGAAAATTGTCTGTCCTCTCCTGCGGCTCCAGTGTTGTAGTGCAGTCAATTGCATTGTGGCCAGGAGGTGCATTTGGGGTGCCATTCAAATGAGTGGCAATGAAACGCACCTGCCGCACTGTAACACGTGGTCAGTGCGTTGCGCGGTATCGTGCGTTAATCGGTTCAGCCCTCCACAGCTATCCCAGTTTCTCATGTGGCCCTTGAGAAAATGAATTGCCCACCCATGACTTAGTGCAAACTAGCTGCAGCAGCAGCACCAATAAAAATAAAGTTTAATAACATTATACTGCACATTAACCCTTTTAATTTTACACCCTCCCACTGTACATGACCTGTACATTTACCCCATTTCATCTCCACCCTCTCACTGTACATGACCTGTACATTTACCCCATTTCATCTCCACCCTCTCACTGTACATGACCTGTACATTTACCCCATTTTATCTCCACCCTCTCACTGTACATGACCTGTACATTAACCCCATTTCATCTCCACCCTCCCACTGTACATGACCTGTACATTAACCCCATTTCATCTCCACCCTCCCACTGTATGTGAACTGTACATTAACCCCATTTAGTCTCCAACCTCCCACTGTACATGACCTGTACATTTACCCCATTTCATCTCCACCCTCTCACTGTACATGAACTGTACATTAACCCCATTTCATCTCCACCCTCTCACTGTGCGTGACCTGTACATTAACCCCATTTCATCTCCACACTCCCACTGTACATGACCTGTACATTAACCCCATTTCATCTCCACCCTCTCACTGTACGTGACCTGTACAATAACCCCATTTCATCTCCACCCTCCCACTGTACATGACCTGTACAATAACCCCATTTCATCTCCACCCTCCCACTGTACATGACCTGTACATTAACCCCATTTCATCTCCACCCTCCCACTGTATGTGACCTCTACAACAATAACCTCTTCACCTTCTCCTCCCTCTGTGTATGCCTTGTACATTTATTGTATCGAGTGCACCATAACCAAGTTCCATATTGTAACCCCCTCAATATCGACATGTTTCTTTATTTCCCAAAAATTGCAGCAAAAAATCAGATCACCTTGCAATATCTACTTTTCAAAAAGGGGTCATTTTGTGAGTTTCGTACTGTTTTTATTTGGCCTTTTTTTAACTTACTGTATTTCTCTTTTTCCCCTTGTCTTAGTTCTATGTTTTTGTTTCTACGTGAAGTGGTTATTTCTAGTTAATCGCTTCAAGCAGTTGGAGCTGAGGGCCCCCTCCCCTGGTTAAGAAGAGAATTGCCTGATTTGACCTTTTGTTGGGGTCTATCAATAAGGTGAGCACCCCCTATATCTGGTGTGGTGCATGTGGTGAAGGAACAATAAAAATGCATCACTATTGCTGTATTTAGACATTTTCAGAGTTATGAAAATGTAAAGACTTTACACCTGATCGATTTTTATTCACTGACGTTTGTCACTGATTTTGTTGTTTTTTTTGTATTGCTCAATGTTGTAGCTCGGCAAATTTAGTTATGAATTTTTCACATATACGCACTCACAGTGGGTGTGCATTCCAGTGCCTTGTAGCTGTTAGTTTGCTTATTGGCGCAGTTCATTTATATATATATATATATTTTTTTTTTTTTGCATGTCTGCAGTCTCTGACCATCTTGTGCAGCCTGCCTGTCATCTCGGACCATCTCTTGCAGCCTGCCTGTCATCTCGGACCATTTCTTGCCGTCGTCTCCGACCATCTCTTGCAGCCTGCTTGTCATCTCCGACCATCTCTTGCAGCATGGATGTAGTCTCCGACAGCTTTCTGTAGCATTAAATTTATGGACTTGAGGTCCTCTATACCAAGAAAGTTGACCCGCACTGGCTTAGACCATTGACATGTGGCAGGTATAATTTTACTGTGGAACGCCAAAAAGATTTGATTCTGAATATATGTCAGTACAATGAATAGCATATGTTATCTATAGAACCCAATTAATGACTGTTGGGGCCACCCTGGTCTCCTAACCAACATGCATACAGGCATTAGAGATCATTTTTATCAATTACATTAAAATAGATGTAAATCCTAGTACTAAAATATCATATGAGCTTTTAACATGTTAATTGCACCTTACATTAACATAATACCTGCATTGCCTTCCTGATATTGAAGCAAGAAACACAAACAGCAGCAATGTGCAGCCACCTAAAGCAACGTATCAGTCTATAGCAGTAGAACAGTGCAAGATGACTGCTGGTTGCTATGGGTTACTGTACATTTCTTTCCCCCTTTTGTTAGTTCTACAATTTCATTTCTACATGATATGTTTATTCTGGCTTTGACTAACACAAGAATCCCTCCCACTGTAATGGGAAAAAGTGTAGAGTGCATATAGATAATTACACAGTGCCATGATACCCTGGTGTCTTGTGTGGGATGGAATGTCGGCACTCTGCACCTGTTACAGAGTTTATAAACGGAACGGTAGGAACAGAATGTCATTCTTGTTGCCATGTTGGCAGACGTGAACATCAACAGAGGCAGCAGCCCGAGCATAGTCATTGCCCCAAGAAAAGAAGCTGATCTCCACGAGGCCAGGCGTACAATACAGCTTCTTGGAAGATTAATATGACTCTCTGCAGTATGTATAATTTCCCATGAATGCTTTTAAGATAAAGATCAAGTGAAGAGCTCTAATTAGTTCATGAGCATTGGAGAATTCTTAGGGCCACTGAGGGGTGGAAGGACACAAAAGTCACTCAGAAGAAAATAAAGTCATCAGTTTGAAATCTATTTTAAGAGGCCAATTTTATTAATAAAAATATTGTCATTTCGATGGACTTTGTTATTTATGCTGTAACATGTTTATATAGCCAGCTACTACATGGAAACAATTTTGAAGTCGGAAACGTTCCTTTGTAGGCCTCATTCATACTGCCGCGCATATACGTGCGTATTGTACCATATGCAAATAAATGGCTCCATACACATAGCCGCGTATAGAGCCGTATATATGCGCAAAAACAGAATGGAACTGGGATGCGTCCGGGCAGTGCATTTCTGCGTATTTTACGCGCATACGCATGTTTGGGCGCGTATGTTTGATTAAAAGTTCCATTAGAAATGATGCATTCTGGGAATGCAAATAGTGCACGTATATATGCGCATAGACTCTCGTATATACGCAATATACAATTTTGCTTGCGTTGTGTGTGAATGAGGCCTTAAAGAGGAACTTTACCCTTATCTTTAAAGTGACAACAAAGACACTTTTAGAAATGTTTAGTAATGACAATCTACAAAGATATACTTCTAGATAATTGCCGGCTTTGTGTTCTTTGCATACCTTATATTTCTATTCCTTCTCATTGTTCTCACGGTGGTCAGTGTTACTAAGGGCAGATTAATCCATCTCCTTTGCCTTCCTGGAACTCTGGCACATGTGACTAGGACATCATCTCAGGGGAGGAAAATGCCTTTCTCGGAGATCTTGCAAGCTTTTGCAGTCTACATATGAGATTCCCCAGTAATGCACTGCGGATGTAACCTTCACCGGATGCATTTCTTAGGCATGGGCTACATCATTAATGCCTAAGAGGACCAGGAAGTGGAAAAACAGTAATTGCAAGGAAAAGAAAAACATGTTTATTCAACTAATGAATGTAAGATGATTTTTATATCGGCATGTAGAGCTGAATGGTGATGTGATTTTTAGTGAAAGGGGGTAAAGGTCTGCTTTAAAGTCCACTCCCACCTTTGTAAGTGATTAGCATTTATTGTGGTAATGAAGAGGTGCAGGGGCGATGTACACCTGTGCACATTTTCATGACTCACATTGCAGGCTTTCTTCATTTTTTATTAGGCCTACAAATTCAAACTCAGGAAAGTCAGTCTGACACTGGGTTCAGATTGTAAAGCACGCTGTTAACAGCTGCACCCCTCCTTGTGATTCTATGTAACATGATCACTAAACACCAGCTCTACCTTTGCACACAATACACTGTCCGGGAGGTGCCACTATTAATGAATAGACGGTGGGGAGCTCAGATTGCTTGCAAAACCCAGAGGCAGCCACTTCCATGAGGATATGAAGATAAAAAGCTAACAAAAAACGTAAGTTTCTGTGTTCATATACAGCAACTACATTGAAGGCATATGATTTTTTTAAATAATACCTCCGTAAAGATGAAAATGGGATTTAAGTTTCATTTTGCATCTGTGAGTCAATAAAGATACCTTTGTTTTTCTTAAGTTCTAAAGCATGAATACTGTAATGCTCATTTATGGGAAATATTTATACTATGTTGTAAATCTAGGGAGTTTAATCTTAATCTGCATACTTGTTCAGGGTCAATTAGAAACCACTGAAGCCAGAGGATCAGCATAACTAGCATATTTCAGCAACAAAAAAAAAAACAGTTAAAAAAAAATGCGCACACACACACACACACAGCTCTAACTTAAATAAATCAACAATCATGCAATGCAATCATGTAATAAAAGAATAGTGCATAGATGTAAAAAAAAAAAAAAAAAATCAATAAAATGTGGAAATGACAAAAACTGATACAAGGTGCAGTCCACTAAAGTGTAAAAAGAGTCTCGGTTTCACTGTTTCTGAACTATTAACAACCACTCGAAGATCAGGTGACTCGAAGACCACCTTCCTGTCCAGGCCACACCCAACACGTTTGCGTGTTTATGTACGTTTTTACAGAGATTCGCGGTAAAAAACAAACGCGCGTTTTCCGAGGCCTAACTGGCTGCATCCCAATGGATACGCGCGGCAAATACGCCCCAAAGAAGCTCCTGTACTTCTTTGGGCGTAGGGCGTTTTGCAGCGCGTTCCTACGCGCTGGAAAACGCCCAGGTGGGAACCATGCCCATAGGCAATCATTGTTTTTCACATGTTGAGCGTTTTACAGCGCGTAGGAACGCGCTGTAAAACGCCCAGGTCTTAAAGCGAACAATCCAGACCACAAGGATGTTTTTTGTGCCAAAGTGAAAATTACTTTTTTTTTAAATGCGGACAGGCAGGTTTTTTTTTATAGCAGAGACCGTCTCTTCTGCTAAGAAATGCTCCTGTCAGCAAATTTTTTTTTTCTCTGCACTGAACCAAACATGCGCAGTACAGTGCACAGTCTCGGGCAAGTTGCTGTGACAAAATGATGCAACTCCGATGCGCATGTGCTGGAGTTAGATCATGCTGGCCCAGCTGACTGCAAGTGCTGGTCACAGGGGGGAGAGCGGACAGCACATCGCTGGAGTTGATTGCTTGACTCAACTTCCGCTTTAAAGGGGTTCTAAAGCCTCCATTTTTTTTGCCTATACAGGTATTCCTCACTTAACGACCGAGTTCCGTTCCTACGACCAGGTCGTTAAACGAATTGGTCGTTAAGTGAGGAACTCTATACAGTACTGTACTGCATTAGTACAGTACTGTATAGCGTTGCCGATGTACAGTACTGAACAGTGTACTGTACATCGGGCAATGAAAATACTCACGGGGACGCGCTGTGAAGAACGGAGGACGTCACTTCCCCCGGCGACACGTCGCACTGGCGCTGACGCGCGAGGTCGGAGCTCGCTCGGGGACGGTCGTAAGTGCGAGTGGTCGCAAAACAGGTAAGTCGTTAAGCGAGGAGTATCTGTATCTACTGCTAGCAAGCAGTAGATATAGGCAAAAAGTTTTGAAAAAAACCAAAAACTTTAACCTTACCCTGTTTTCGTTGCGCGCTCCCGCCCGAGAATCCAAAACTGCTCGGGCGGCCGCAAAGCATCTCGTTACGGGCGCATGCGCAGTTCGGATTCTCGGGCGGGAGACGAGCAGAGACGCAAGGTAAGTCTATGGACGCGTGCACCCGCATGCAGACACCGCTGTATCGGAGGGCAGAGCAGTTAGCGCTGGATCGGAGAGCCGCCGCACCGCTGGAGGGACAGATGAAAACATCAGGAAAGAAGAGGAAGATCGGATTAAGAAACCTCTTTTAAGGTAAGTGCTGACATTAACATTGGGGGGAGTGGACATTTTTTTTGACTTTAATGTCACTTTAAGACAACAAATGATTTAAAAAGACAATACAGAGTCACAGGTTTTAGAAAAAAGAATTGAAGTCTAGTGATCAAGCACTGGAAGGAAGACTGATCCTGCTAGAAACATATTGTTCTGTATAGATAATTTTATTAGAATTATAAAAGCTTATTCTTAGATAATTTATAACAAAACAATGGCAAAATAAACCCCACTTAAATTAGGGTATACATATCTTCATGAACTTGCACTGTGCATTTTGAATTATGTTTTTCCCATTTTGATATTAATTTTAGAACTCCAATGATCAGTTTTATTAAAAACAGACACAAAGAATTGTAAGCTGCGAGATGGAAAATAAACCAGTTTCCTGTTACTCTTCCGATGCAGAGGCCTTTCTGGGACGCAGAACAAGATCTTTGATCTTGGTGGACAGTTCATGAAGTTCCTTTCGAACGTCCTCTGATGTCTTCTCAGGTACTTCTGCTGGGTCTCCCATCATGTCAACATCTTCATCCTCCTTGTGCTTTGTCTGACCTATAAGTTGTTTCACTACAAGGCTTTGGTAGGTAACCAAAATACTATACTGATCCTGGGGTAAAAAGAACAGACCAAGTAAATAGAGTGTATTCAAATTAAAGGGAAACAAAATCTGAACTAGAACTTGCTATATAAACATAGAATATACAGGTGAAACTCGAATAATTAGAATATTGTGCAAAGTTCATTTATTTCACTAATGCAACTTAAAAGGTGAAACTAATATATGAGAGAGACTCATTACATGCAAAGCAAGATAGTTCAAGCCGTGATTTGTCATAGTTGTGATGATTATGGCTTACAGCTCATGAAAACCCCAAGAACCCCAAAAAAGTAGATTATTACATGCAATCAATAAAACAAGGATTGTACATAGAACAATATCGGACCTCTGAAAAGTACAAGCATGCATATGTACTCAGTACTTGGTTTGGGCCCCTTTTGCAGCACTTACTGCAATTACTTTTGCACGATATTCTAATTATTCGAGTTTCACCTGTACTAAACCAGTCCTTAGATGAGGTGTTTGGATTCGATTTCTTTTTCAGGTTAAAAACATTTTTAACAAGTACAGAAAATTCCTGTTGATTTTGATAGAAATTAGTTGCCACTTACTGTGAGATTATGTCATTTTCCACCCAGGGACAGCGAGTATGATGTTCACAGGATCACCAGGTGAAAATAAAGGAATAGAAGCCCAAACAAGAAAACTAATGCAGCCATCTCATCTATGGACTGGTAAGCTGCAATGTATTACATTTTTGTTTGGACAGTCCAACCTCTAAATTTAGCGTTCTGACCATCACATTCATTTTAATAATTCTACCCTAGGAGGGTCCTCACACATGAATTTGTTGACTAGAGGCTCAGTCTCAGTCTCCGGTACCGAGACAACTAAAATAATATAAAATGATGAGACTCTACAAAGCCAAAAGAAAAATGTGGCATTTTTCAAGAAACCGCTTCTTACATCATATATATCCAATAATTTGTACAAAAGGACATGATATAAAATGGTACAATCCCATACAATACTGCCTCTCCACAATTCCAAAACCCAGCTATACAGTATGTAAAAATCACAAAACTTCTACTTCTTTATGTATTGTTTCTGCTTAATATTTCTCTTTAATATTATGTACCAATGGAGACTAAACAGAGGATTCCTTTTATAATTTTGTTTACCCTGTGAGTGTGTACAAGCATAAAACCCAGTACTTCTCTGATCACTGCACCCTACAGTATACCTGTCATTAGAGGTGCACAGAAGTGGAAATTTCAAAACCGAAATAAAAAAAATTGTCAGGCCGAAACCGAAAATGTTTTTTATTTTTTATAAACTTTTTATATTTATTTGTATTTATTAATTAATTTTTTATGAAATATTTTTAACTTAACTTTTAGGGGCTTCGGGGAAATATTGGGGGGTCTAAACAGACCCCTGATATTTCCCTTTTAAAATAGAAAAAGAGATTGAGAACACAGAGTTCTCAATCTCTTTTTCTGTATCCCCTGTTATTAATGAACAGGAATCCATGTTATGAATGAACAGGAGTGTTCCTGTTCATTTATAACATGAGGACATAGTGTGTTTACTATAACTACAACTATGAATGAACAGGATTTGATGTAGATCACTTCCCATTCATTCATAATTGAGGATATAGTACACATACCACGTCCTCAATTATGTACAAACACTCAGCGATCACTGATCTCTGAGTGTTTGTACCTTGCTCTCCTCTCTGGCACGCTGTCACAGGAGGCTAAGCCAGCAGTGCAGGGAGGAGAGCCCAGCCTCCTGTGACATCGTGGGCTGTCTCCTCCCACACACCGCTCTGCCGGACTCTGACAGGAGGCTGAGCGGTGTGAGAGAGAGACGCCAGCCGCTCACAGCGCTCCCCTCCCGCAGCGCTCGCCAGCCTGTGACAGTTTATCTCCTCCCTGCTGGGACTAAGAGCAGCGCCTAGTGGGGAGGAAAGAAACCTGGGATGCGCTGATGTGTCAGCAGGAAAATGGCACTTTCGGCATTTAGCCAAAAGTGCCATTTTCGGCCGATATGTTTCGGCGGCCGTTATATCGGTGCATCCCTACCTGTCATAATAGAAATATATGGGCTGCCACTGACACTTATCTAGCTTCCATATTTCTCAATCATAGAACTGGAATAAGGAGGAAGTAAATGAAAATATGCAGAAATCCTTCTCTGCATGTTTGTTCTAGGACAGTGGCTCAGTAAGAACTGAAGTCACAGCACTGGCATGACAATCATTTTGGATTTTGAGGAAAAGTACGCAATCACTACACACATTTCTCTTATGATGAGGTTACCTGCAAGGATACAGAGACAAGGAAACAGGTTTACTTAACTCAGCGGTTCTCAACCTGTGGGTCGCGACCCAAAAGTGGGTCGCAACTCACTGTTGAGTTGGTCGCAGCATCCACTTCTGCTGCGCTAGGTGAGAGGCTCCTCAGCCTCCTCCTAGCACAGCAGTGTCAGTCAGCGGGAGGACAGCAGAGGCTGTGAATATAAAAGTGCAGCTATACACACTCCCTGGCCGCTGCAGCGACATCTAGTGGCCGGGGAGTATGTACAGCAGGGCTTTTCTATTCACAGCCGCTGCTGTCCTCCTGCCTCCCATACAATGTGAGCTCTGCAGGAGGCAGGCGTCTAGGCAGTGCTGGGGCTAAGAAGGCTGCATGGAGACAGAGCAGGTAGCAGGGCCTGGGGAGGGCTTGTATTCTTATGAGCGTGCTTCTATTTTTAGTCCCAAGTTCAGCACCTTACTAATTCTGCAGTCCAGCGCTCCGTTGGGGGGTCACCACAAATTGGCAAATGTTACCTAGGGGTCGCGGCCCTAGCAAGGTTCAGAACCACTGACTTAACTACTATCCTCTCTAGCTGCATGTACTTAGCTTTCATTAACTACCCCGCTGCCCTACTCAGCCACTGGGAGTGGAGAGATGAATCTCTGTATAAGCTTAAGTTCATAAGTTTGCTCCCAACAGCAAAAAGAGTGGGGGCCTAAAGGGAGGGCAAGTACCTGCAGCCAGAGAGGTAGTTAAGAAAGCCTGTTGCTTTTTCTTGCTTGGTTCAGTTTGAATGAAAACAGACTACTGGTTTAAAACCCAGCTGATGACCTCTTTCCCTTACAAAAGGGTTTTTGGTACTGTCAAATCTACCCGGGGAGTAGAGGAAACTGCAGATACCAGACAATGCCTAACAACCATGAGTACTCAGCAATAAACCAGCAGACGTTTCAAGTCTTGTACAAATAATGGGATCCTTACACAGAGGTAAAACATTTCAGGTTGCTGCTCCTTTAGAGGTAACATTTTTTAACATTTTCTAATGGTGGTGTGCCTCGTGATTTTTTTCATGAAAAAAAGTGTGCCTTTGCACAAAAAAGGTTGAAAAACACTGCTTTAAAAGGTCAAATCACTATTTCTAGGTGGAACCTAATATGAAATGGGAAAAGATTTGTAAAAAAAAAAGAACTCTTGTGCCATTTATTTATGTCTTCACACTGTAATACTACATATCTAGATCTTGGTTTTCATGACTCAGTCTGGCTTTGCACTACATATACTACATCTTGTTCATGACAATACCTCAGGGATCTTGGCTTTCAGGAAAGCAATAATCTGTGGGACACATCTTCCTGGTGCATGAAGCATACAGTGTGTTGTGAATTGAAACAGCAAGACAGATGTCAGATGCAGGACCAAGGCGGAGTCTTCTGTGACTTTGAGTTGCTCTATAAGAGCGAGCCTGTGCTGGAACAAAACTTGCCTAAGAAAAAAAAAAAGGGAAAACGATTTGTCACTTACCTGTCCTGAAAAGCTAAAGCAATGCATTTTCAATATTGTCTGCTTCAAGAACTGTACAAAAGCAGCATGTGAATGGGTTCTCTGACAGCTTCGGGACAAATCTTCCCACCACGCTCAGCCATAGTCAGTAAAGTTTAAGGAATATAAATGTGTGGTTTTATATTCAAGAACAAATACAATTTAGAATAAGATTTTTTTTCTTTTGTACAAAGCTAAATATGAAATATTTTTTTATTTACAGTCAGCAGTGGAGCTCTGGGTTCTTTTTTTTATATGCATACCTGGCTAAACCTAAAGCCCCTCTCCAAGTAAAATGATCATTTACACACAGAACTGGGTATGTCAATTACCATTAAAAAGCTGTTATGTGCAGAGGCCGGCTGCAAAGTAGAAAAATCTTAACTTGCAGCATGCCATTCCCTGTACAGAATGCCCAGCTTCTGAGAGAGAGAGGTGCACCCGAGCTGTACAGCACTCCGGCTGCATCACTCGCTATACCGTCCTCTATTCACAAAATGTCTTGTATTTCTTTAAAGAATAGAAGACATTCTGTGATTGGAGGAGAAGAAATTATGTCACATCCTCACCCCGTTCCCTCACAGCGAATGAGTGTTACAAAGGAAAAAAACTCCACCTTTATAAAACCCAGAATGTTCTGCAGACCCAATGTCATGGGTGCACCCTGTATAAAATTCCCATTTGTAGAATAAAAAATAAAATACAATAGGAGTTTAAAACTTAAAGCT